GGGTCACGGACAAGACCAGCTTGTCAAAGTGAGTTATCAAGTCACTTCTTTGGCTTTTCATCTAACAGCTCCCAAGACTGATAAGACCGAGTTATCAAGTCACTTCTTTTGCAGTTATCAAGACCGGTGGCTCATCTAACAGCTCCCCCGTCCAAAAGCTCACCCGCCACTCCGCGTTCTTCTACGCGCGACCGCGCGTCAGGTGCTCCGGTGAAGAAATGGGAACTGCAAGCGCGATGCATCGAGACAGCAGATGTGTCGATCCGAGGGGATTCGTTCGTGTCGACCATCCAGCATCAGCAGCATCAGCAGCTGCATCGCATCCCATAGCTGCCATAGAAAGGGAGGGTGGCCAAGAGTAAGGCATCAGGCATCACCTGCCAGCGCCGCTTGCGCGAACTACCATGATGACCAGGGCAAGAGGGCTCCCATTCAAAGTGGGCAGGGCTGAACCGCATGATGCGTCTGTTCTGCATGAGCTGGGTCCTGTGAGCGAGACAAGTTTCCTGAGCTTGTTACTACCTCTCTTCTTGGTGGCTGAGGTTTGTTCGCCGGAGCTTGTTCTCGAAGTTCTGCAAAGACATCTCATGGTGGCGTCTCCCTGCGGGGAAAAATAAAAACAGACCGTCAACGTGATCACATTGTTATACACATGTTGTCGCCATTCACCAGGTGAAGCACCTTGGTAATGTAGACTCTTGATTAGTTTATATAAAGGGTGTATAAACACACCTTTGGGAAGTGTTAAACCTCTTCAATATGTTGGGGGTTTATGAATCAATTGAGTCTACATTGTCGAGATTAATGATCAGCCATGGGGGGGGGGTGAAGTAGTGTAGGTGGATCAACAAAAGGACACACTCCTGATCAAGTTCTCAACCTTTGCAGGTCCAGTTGCCCAATTTCTCCACCTGACCGGTCGACCCTGGCCGATCGAACTCCGGGTGCCACGGAGACTTTACCGCCGAACTCGCCGCTTCGGCGGTTGGCGCTGAGTTGGCGGACAACTGCTTCGCCACTGTTTCAAGGAGGCGGCCAACTCAGCTCTCCCAGGCCGGCCGATTCTCGGTGCTCAACCGGTGTTCAAAAAAGGATGAATGGTGTGGACTGTCGGTGGTCGGTTCGGGGGGGGGGCTGACGGTGAGCCGTGGTGAGCCGTAGTGAGCCGAATGTTCCAGATGGCACAAGTTGCAAGAAGAAGTGGGAGCAAGAGTGTGTTGGGCAGGCTGTTGGACCGGAGACGGACCCAAAGACCTCCAGCTGGGACCAGGCCATTCCAAGATATTCCAAGCTGCGAAACAGTGAGCTGAGTTTATGTAAGTTCATCATCTAACTGACTCACATGTTCAAAGAAAGGTGCAACGATCAAACTCTCAACCCAAAACCTTGGATGGCCTAAAGGTGTGCTCGACCTGTAGAAACATGGAGAACCAATGGATGGACCAGGTGAAGAACCCTAAGCATAGACGCTGAGCAGCCTTCAGTTCGACCATTCAATCAACAGCGCCCAGACATACTACCCAGAGCCTCGATGTAGTATAGTATCCTCACATTCGGGTCATAGATGGGGTCATACTGTCACTCGTCACGCACACTTAAGCACCCCCCCAACCCGTTTGCTTGATTGCTTGACCGTGTCGCACGGTCCGGTTCGGCCGACTGTGTGACACACACACGCCAGAGACAGAGAGGCGACGGAGAGGGCGACGTGGAGAACTGGCAGGAGCTCGAAACCGAAAGTGAGGACGAGGACGAGGAGGAGGAGGAAGAGTGGGACACGCCACTTGGACCGGACATGGTTTTGGAAGAAAGAAGGGAAACCACACATGTTAGACCTCAGATATTCCAGGGATATTCCAGGGTAGGGATTTAAAAACATGATGATATATGATGTGTGATTGATATATCATACCATGAGTAATTTCTTTATTATTTTGCTAGGTGGTGGACTGTCCCACCCATCCATGGCATCATATATTGTGATTGAATTGCTCAATTTGTTTGGGGCCACCTGTCATCGATGTTCATCGATGCTCATCGACATGCTTGAATGGCACGAGAGCTGGAGCTGGTCAGACCAGACCGGTCACCAGAGCTCAACCGACCGGTCAAAAATGGTGCGGCTTTACAGAAACAGCCGGTTTCAGGTCGTAGATGCCAACAACCCCCCAACAATCCCCAACATGTCCTTGACAAAGATGGGGATCCCAATAGTGGGGGTCCATCTCATTCAACCAAATTTGTGTTGTTTTGTGTGTCTTTGGGTGCCATCTCTGAAACTACTGCTACGACCCCGGCGGTGCCATCTCCGAACCGAGCTGCTCCGAACCGAGCCGAACCGAGCTGCTCGTCGTGACGGGAGTGTCGCGCGAGGTTGGGTGAGCTGGTGCAGCTGCCGCGCAGTGGCCCTGCACAGTGACCTGGACCACCCGTCCGTCCGGTGAGGGAGGGCGGTCGGCGAGGCCGAGGGCGAAGGCCGGTTCCGTCCATACGACAGCGTGTGGGTCGGCGGAAGAGGTGCGATGACAGCGGTGGGTCGGCTGAAACGGTGCGATTGGGATCGATTTGGGATGAGAGCTTTCACATGGAAAAAGTGGAAGAATCGGTTCAAGGGACCTTGAGTGAGGCCTGGTTTGCTCGGTTCGAGAAGGATAATATGAATGTTGACAAGTTGTCACCAGGTACCATGATCAGAAGTAGTTAGTTCATGTTCAATAATACGTATACCATCGTACACCAGAAACACACTAGAAGTAACGCAACGGAGGAAGGATCGGTCTCAGTGTGTGGGGGTTCCATTTGTCGCATGCTAAGGGACTGAGAGCCCTGTTCAGGGCTTCGCGGCTGGAAGACGCACCCAGAGGGCCCGATGGACGAGCATAGATAGCATAGCCTTCTTTTCGCCCTTGGGGAACAAAAGACCTGTCGAGTCATACTAAAGGTACACCCGGGAAGATTGACACCTGAACATGGACCTTTGGAAGACTACTTTCCTCTACAATCCAGTGGTTTTCAGGTTCCATGTGAATCTTTCAGGGCGTATCTTATTGGGCAATAATTTAATAGATTCATTTAGTTATGTTTCTCTTCAGGCTGACTTGTTCCGCAGAGTGTGATGCCCGGCGATTTTGGCTCAAGTTCCTTGGAGTGGGGGGGGGGCGCGCGTCGCGTTCGTTGATGGGTGCCTTGGAGCTTTACCTACACTGGACTTCACTGCTAGCCAACCTCCTCTCACTGGTCAAGTCGCCGGGGGCTGGTAGGTGCGACTGCCATTGTCACGAGCAGCTAACAGGTGGTTGTGTGACTCTGGTGAAAGAAGTGTTGTCGGTGTGCACTGAATTTAGCTCTGGGACTACCTCAACTACCACTACTACACCCGGAACTCTGTCAACTGATTGGTCTTGGATTTGGCTCATTCTCTTGCTTCTGGTGTTCACAGGTGGTCTGATTTCAGGAGCTGCTTTGCATCTCACCTTCAGACCTGGCCCCAAGAAGCAGTTGGCCATTGCTGGCCCTGCAGGCCCTGATAGCCCAGTTGTCAAAGTTCGCAAAGGACTAGCTGCGTGATGGCTGCCGGGGTGGCAGTCACCCTTGATGTGCCAGAGCTGCAGATGCTGGTTGAGTTTCCGGGCGACGCGAACGGCCTGGACTTTCATCACAGAGTGCTATGGTATCGAGTAGATCGGTCCGTCTGGATCATCTCCACACCAGATGGTGATGTGTATGAGGAGGACTATGACAACACGACTGTCATCCCCTTACCTAGGAGAGGACCCTATCCCAACGCTCAAGCTGGGCAGATGTACATTCCAGACAATGCTGCAGTTATGGCTCAGTATGGGGAACTACGCAGACAAGCAGAGAGCCTAGCTCTAGTCAGAGGGTGCCTAGACCGACCAGGTGTGGTGGCAGGAGCTGATGCTGTTGGCGCAGGTCAATGGCGTGTGGCTGATGTAGATTCAAAGCGGTTCGGAGAGATCATCCCAAATGGTGAGCTGAACGAGGCATCGCACAATGTTCACCTGCAGGTTGGAGATGTTCAGAAGCGGCTTCATTTTGTCGGAGGCGAGATTGTGGCCTTGGAGTTGGTTAGCAACTTTGATGAGTGGAAGAACAAGAAGCGCCCGGGCCTTCCGGGTGGTGATGCAGGTGACCTCCGCATCTTGGGATGCACTCGTCTTTCCTCTGGCAAGAGACAGCTGACTTTGACGGACGCGCTGACCTCAATGTCTCAGCAGGCCTTTGATGATTGGCCGCATCGCGGACCCCGTGCCACTAGGGAGTTTCTGGAAAGTGTGTGTGAGAATGGTGGTGACTTTGCAACCTATCATGCTTCCTTCATGCGAAAGAGTGGTCTTCCGGACTCCTGCGCGGCAGCTCACGAGCTTCGCAACCTCCTCCAGATCGTCAAGTTTGCCATCTCCTATGACCAGGTCGACTGCAGCAACTTAGCTGCCATCTAGCAGGCTGTGAGACGGATCTTAGAGATTCAGACTGCTGTTCGCCGCAATCCCAAGCACCCCACCTTCGATGCCTTTGATTACAACACCAGAGGTTCGGTTGATGAAGTTGGAGGCGCAAGGGCGCCTGGCTATGCTGAATGGATGGCAGAGCAGCAAAGAGCCGAGGCCAAAGTGCTCAAGAACACACGTGAATGGCGAGATGAACAAGCTGCTGAGAGACGTCGCGCAGCCAAGACCTCCGGAGATCGTGCTGACTCTGACGATGATCCCGCCGGTGAGAGCAAGAAAAAGAAGAACAAGAAGAAGAAGGGCGCTGGTGCAGCCAGCGCCTCAGCCCCATGAGCTCTCCTGATGGTCGCCATGGTGAGGGCGACATGACAAATGCTCACCGTTGCATGGTCCAGAATTCATCTACCACTTTGGGTGGACACCGTTCCGAATTGTTCCCTATGTCCTCTCTGCCTTGGAGAGACCGCAGGGCTCGATCGTCCCCCCTTCCTTGCTGATGCTGCTGGTGTTCAAGGGTACGGGAGGCGGATGGCTGGTCGTGTGAATGAGGCCATTGGCTCTCTCAATGCTTTGAGCAATGTTTCCGTGCGCTCCATCAAGCGAGGCTCTTTTGATCATGGGCTTCGACCTGGTGACAAGCCGACCCGTCCTCAGGAGGCCATTCTCTCGAGGCTCGCGACCAATGTTCACGAGTCGGGCACTTGTCCTGCTGGGTTGACTCCGAAGTTGTGCTTTGAGGAGGTGATCAAGTCCAAGGACATGTATTCACTTTCCCAATGTGCGGTTGCCCCCTATGACCTTGCCTTGTTGAAGGTCGCAAAGACTGAGACAGTCCCCAAGGAGGCCACTCAGCTTCTACCTCCAACGGAAGCCTCTTATCTCCTCCATCCAGAACGACACATCCTTCGATCGCCTCAGGACATCCAGACTTGGGCTGATGCCAACGCTGACTTTCATCCTTACTGGGATGAGACCTTGAGGAAGGATAGACAGCTCAGGCTTGAGCTTTATCAGATCCTTGCCAAGAAGTCTCTCTTGAGTTTTCGAAAGAAGATTTCAGCTCGGGTTGGACTCTTTTTTGTTTGGAAAGCCTCACGCAAGGGCATCCGCTTGATAGTTGATGCTAGGATGGCCAACGCATGCCATGTTCGTCCTCCCAAGACTAGGCTGGGAGGAGCTTCAGCATTAGCAGAGCTTGACGCTTTCCTGCAGGACAGTGACTTGGCTGCTCTCGGAGAAGGATATGGAGGACCTGTCTCTCTTCCTTGCAATCTGTTTGGATGCACAGGAGATGTCAGTGATGCTTTTTACCAGTTCTCAGTTGAAACTTTGGCTGAATGGTTTGGGCTAGATGATCCTGTTTTTGCATTTGAATTTGGAGTTACCGAAGTCTGGGATCCAGACAAGGGTTGCAACGTGAAAGTGCAGCCTGGCGAAAGACTGTTCCCTGTTTTTGTAGGGATGCCGCAGGGCTGGGCATGGGCGCTTCATTTTTGCAATTGCGCTGTAGAATACAACATGTCCAAGGCTTTGGGAGCTTCACAGTTTGTTAAGGAAGGTCTTCCTCCCCCTGATCTGAGACAGGGTCCCGTTGGGTCGGTTTATGTCGACAACATCGGCACCTTTGGTTTCCTTGGTTCAGCAGTCACTAAGTCTTTTGACGATTGCGTTCAAACACTGGAATCTGCCGGGTTTGTCCTACATGAGCTCGACAAAGACTCAGTTGAAGTCGCGAATGTTGGCATTGTGGTCCATAGGTACAAGAAGGAGATCCGACACACAAGAAAACGTAGCTGGAGGCTCTACCTCGCTTTGAAGCACGTTTTGCGTTTGAAGAAGATCACCTGCGAAGCGCTGCGCATTGTTATCGGTCATTTGGTGCATTATTTCACCTTGTTTAGGCCCGCTCTGTCAGTCTTGCACCACAGCTATAAGTTTGTCTATGAACATTTGGATGGACGGTCTCACTCCCTCCCCGGGAGAGTGAAGCGTGAGCTGCGCATGGCTGTTGGGCTTATTTTTCAGATCAAGGTTGACCTGTCTGCTCCATACGCTGATCACATATATTGCGGGGACTCCAGCACCTATGGCTATTGTTTCCAAAGCACCCCCTCGACGGCTGAGGAGCAGCGACATCTCTTCAGATACCATGAGCGTTGGAGGTTTGTGCAGTTGGAGGAGGGAGTGGGGCAGGGGTTGGGGTCGCACCATGCCTGGTCGGCTGATTTTGCGTTGCCAGACATCGCATACGCCCGCTGGCTCTGCGCTCGCAACGCCATCCCCTTTCCTGGAGGTGAAGAGCTTGAGAAAGGATCCAAAGACTTTTCAGGTGGAGACCATTTGAGGCGTTTTCACCATGTCGATTTGGTTGGACTTGTGCCTAGGCTTCCCGACTCTCTGGTAGACCACACGCGCTGGAGGACCATCATTCAGCGGAAGTGGAAACACAATGAATCCATTCATATGAAAGAGGGTCGGGTCGCTTTAATGACGCTCCGACGTGAAGCTAAGAAGGCCTCATCTCATGGCAAAAGACTACTGACTTTGTGCGATAACCTTTCGGCCACTTGCGCCTTTGACAAGGGGCGTGCCAAAGATCTCGCCCTGCTGGTGCTGTGCAGAAAGGCGGCAGCCATTCAGATTGGGACTGCCATTAGGTGGCACCTTCGTTATGTTGAGAGTGCGCGCAATCCATCCGACAGAGACTCACGCGTGTTCCCTGGAGATCATGGACACCGAGGTTCTCCACTCTCTGCAGCTGACGCTACAGGCTTGAAGCAGGGATTCTCAAACCACACTCCACCTTTGCTGAGCTCTTCTTGCACAGCGCGGGGGGGGAAACCCTACTGCGGTATCCAGTCGGGGTGGAGTGCGGGGCGGGAGTCCTGTTGGTCAAGCAGTTGGGGTAGAGAGATGTGTTCCAAGGAGGGCGAAACGAACAGAAGGTTGCTCTCTCGAGCCTGCAAATTCGGAGGCAAGGCCCCCCTTGCTCTGTGACGATCTTTTGACTCCATCGTCGCCATCCCGAAGCATCGTGCAGACCAGTCACGTGGTTAAAAGGTCTGCCAAGCTATGCAGCAGTGTTCCTGAGGTTGCCCCCTCTTTCATTGAGTTGTTCAGTGGCTCTTCTCGTTTGACGGCAGCTGTTCAAGAGAGTGGTTTGCGTGTTGGGGTGCCATTTGATCTGTCCAATGGGAATTGTTTCGACCTGACGAAAGTTGGCATACAACATCTCATTTTGGATTGGATTAAGACCCACCGGATCTGGTATGTACACCTCGCCACCCCTTCCACTGTTTACAGAATTGCCAAAAAGAAATCCGCCACTGGAACCAGATTGAAGATGTCAGATCAGTGTGCCCACTTCACAGCTTCTGTCATTTTGCAATGTGAGCTATCGGGTGTGTTCTACTCCCTTGAGAACCCCAAGTCCTCCAAGCTTCTCAGACACTATAGAGTTCAGCAAGCTTTGGCCAGTACCTCCGCTGTTTTCATTGAGTATGACTGTTGTAGATATGGGTGTTCATACAGGAAACCAACCTACATTGCAACAAACTGTCGTGCACTGGTATCACTGGGTTTACGGTGTCTTTGCGGGGGCAAACACAACGACCAGCTTCGTGGACGTGTCAAATTACCTCCTTCTTCTAGGAAGCCTGGTTGGCATTGGAAAACCTCACTGGCCGGCGAATACCCCGGACCACTATGTTTTGCATGGGCCTCACTTTTGCAATATGTTGCTCCAGCGTCCGCACACAGGTCTGCTAGGGAACCTCTTTTCTTGCCCGGATGGTTGGATGAAGTTTCCAAAGTCACTAGCTCCACGGTCCCAAGCACATTCATCCTCGAGCAGTGCCCCAAAGACTACACCTGTCCCTGGGCCAGTGCTGCAGACTCGTGGGGAACCGAAAGACAAGAAGCAGGCTCGGGTAGCAAAAGATCGTCTCAGCAAGCTCACTGACACCGCTCCTGGTTTTTTGAGAAAGGCAAAAATTCGGAAGTCGTCGACCCGGACATTGTATGCTGATGCCTGAACTGGCGCGCTGTGCTCAGACAAGTCAAAATTTGCCACTATGTCACAGCTTGACCGTGCTCTGGAGTCCTTTGGAGAGAGCCTATATCTACAGGGAAAGCCAAAATACACTTTCGACTGCGCCATTCAGAACTGCAACGTCGAATACCCAGCGTGGCCAACCAATGCCCGCCTCAACTACCCCCTGGCTAAGGCTGCCAAGCGTGGTTGGGGTACACTGGAGCCTGGGTCCTCCCGGGAACCATGTCCGCTGGAAGTTGCTTTCTGGATTGCGTCCGATCTGCTGGCAAGGAACCTTCTCAGCATTGCTGCAGCTGTTGTTTTGTGTTTCGATACATACATCCGCCCTGGAAAACTGCTAGAACTTAGACACTGCAATGTCATTTCACCTGCTCGTGGTTTGAGTCGGCAATATATCCAGTGGACACTACTGCTGCACCAAGAAGCACAGGATCCGTCCAAGACGGGACAACACAATGACAGTCTCATTGTGGGCTCCTTTGAGCGTGAGTGGATCGGTACTTTGTTGGGACACCTTTACAAGCGTCATTCGAAAGGAGTTCAGGCCTTTTTGTTTGATTTCGATTTGTCCACTTTTGAGAAGGAGTTCAAACACTCTGTAAACAATTTGGGCATTCAAAAGCTGAAACTTTCACCCCATTGCCTGCGCCATGGGGGAGCCAGTCATGACTATTTCATTGGGTCTAGAAGCCTGGCTGACATACAGCAAAGGGGATGTTGGGCTACTTTCGATAGTGTTCGTCGCTACTCCAAACACGGACGACTTTCTAAGCAACTCGGACTGCTCACCCCTTTGCAGTTACAAAACGCCAAGCAAGCCTCTCTGGAATTGCCACGCAAACTTTTGCGTAGCTTTACTTGACTTGCTCAGCAGCCTTACCCCCTATAATGGACCAAGAATATGGGAGTGATTGATTCGTTTGGCGGCAAATTTCGCGCCTTTCGTTCTC